TGTGTGTGTGTGTGTGTGTGTGTGTGTGTGTGGGGGGGGGGGTTAATGTAATGGAGGATCTGGGTTATTTTTCATTTAAATTGCATTCACTGGCCCTGGGGACACCATCAAGGACATTAGTTTCCCAGTGACAGACCTCTTAAAATGGGGAATTTCCATGGGAAACGGCGACCAATGGTAACTTTACTTTAAAGCTAAGGCATGCTTTATCTGGGTACCAGTCAATAGGTCTGTTGGGGGATAGGATAGGTAGGTGATGCAGAAGAGGAGTGGAGCAAATGTGCAGTAGGGGTTTTACTGTCATTATGAGCCTCAATTCTTTCTATATCATGAACTGCGATTACCATTTGGGGAGGATTAACCTTGGAAAATGGGAAGATAGAGGAAGCTACCCAGCTTCAGTAAACTAACTAAATGTTGGAATGCCTAAAAATGAATGATATTCTGCTTGCAATCCAGAATAAAATGATGTATCACTATACTGCAGAAGATAATGTTTTCGCTTTTAACCTTTGACAGTTGCCACATTTTTGGAGTAAAAGACTGAGTTTTATTTGTCTGAACTCAATTGGATATTCTTTTCTTTTGGGCTGCTGAAGAGAATTGCATGAAATCTGTGAGGGTTCAGTTCTGACAGTGAGGGCAGGTGTACCAGGCCACTTTGGCCTACACAAAGGTGAAGTGAGTACTGAAGACAATACTCATGTGCATGTCTGGGTTAATGGGGACAGGGGTTTCCTAAAGATTGTGTATAGGGAACCAAGTTAAAGCCAACCTTTGGATTACATTTGCTGCCTTGGTGGTAGATCTTGCCCTTAAGACTGGACCTGAGTTTTTAGAAGTGGCAAGCTGGAGCTTGCAGAGGGGAGGTGGCCATAATTCACAGCAGATTATGGTCATATGTGTATGGGTATGATATACAGCATAGAAGATAATGTACTGTAATTTTTAATTGATGGCAGTAATTGTCTGAACCAGTAAGGCATTAAACTCTGATCGTATATTTTATTTCAGTAAAAATGGAGAAGTGTCCTGGAAGCAGCCCATCCATGGGCAAGGTCACCTGTGATCATGGACCTAGTGTGATGGAGCATATGGCCCCCTTTATCCTAATGCAAAAGGGGAACATATAAAAACATGAATAGGCATTCTGATTTAGAAGGTCAGTTTTCTAGGTTTACCAATAATCTTCCCTCCCAGCTTTAGACACGCAGAAAAAAAGTTGTAAAATTTGTATTAAAGTCTATTTTTTTGCATATATCTACTGCTAGTAAGCAGTATCCCGAAAATAAAACCTAGTGTCTTTTTTCGTAGAAAAAAAAATATAAAACACTGTCTTATTTTCGGGGAAACACGGTAGATATATGCCCCAACATTAAAAAAAATGTAAAACAATTGTCAAATAGTAACTAACTTACCTGGCTCAGCCCCGCTCGCTCCCGGCTGCAGAAGTCCGGCTCCCGAACACATTGAAGCCGGAAGTTTGGGCAGGCACATGCGCAGTCCAGATCAATGGGGAGAGGAAGAGAGCAACACAGACACTGAATGGACACAGTCGGGCAGCTGGGAGTGCGCATGAGGAGTCTGCACTGGATCAAAGACCGACAGCAACGCTGGAGGGACTGTAGAAAACGAATGGAAGGAAGAAGCTGTTCGGTCAAGAGGCATCACATAAGGAAAGTCCTTACAGCAGAATTAGGAGGGGAGGGGGAAAGTATGCCTTTAATGTCACTTTAACCAATTGCCGTCCGCCCATTGTGAAAACACAAGCGGATGGTGGACTCCTCCCAGCGGTTACACGTGCCTGTATGTAATTTTTCTGCTTGCGAACCCCCTAGTGCAGGGGTGCCCACAAGGTCCTCTCCTCCCGCCGCTTCTCTGGATCCCCGCTGCTCTCCCTAGCGAGATCCGAGAAGAAGTGAAGGAACCGTCGGCGGGGGAGGACGGAGCCGCTGTCACAGAACTAATGAAGAGCGGTGAGGAGAGAGAGAGACGCTCGGCCAGGATCTGACAGCCGGCGCCTCTCTCTCCCCTCATATCTCGTCTGTTCTGTCACAGCGGCTCCGCCTGGCTGCGGTGCCATTGACTTCAATGCACCGCCACGCCCCCTCCCGCCCCTGAATGCAGGTGTTTTTTCGTTGGTAGATCTCAATGAGCTCGTCATTTGAAAAGTAGATCTCCAGACGAAAAATAGTGGACGCCCCTGCCCTAGCGTGTGCAGGCAAGCGTAATCCCATTGGGAATGTAAACAGCCAGTACCAGCTGATCGCTTGTATGACATTAAGAAACATGCCCCCTGCCGCGCTTCCCCCCTCCATCGCCTCTGCCGGTAATCCCGGGCTCCGCTGTCCCCCCCTGTGGGCCCAGGACTGGCAGAGCGGCTACTAGCAGTGACAACGGAGGGGAGATCAGCATTCTCGCACATTACTTCCGCCTGGGGAAGCAGATCTCTGGTTCAGCTTTTTTGGGGATCCCAAGGTGACATTAGGGGTCTTAGAGACCCCTGATGTCTCCATAAAGAGGACCTGCCATTGTATATTTTTGCCCCCTATGTGATAGCAATAAAGTTAAATGTAAAAAATAAAATAATGAAAGTTTCATATAAACAAAAAAAACCTGAAAAAAAAGTCCCCCGCCCCCACGTGCATGCACAAATAAACGTAAATACGCATCAGGTGCAAAAACAGCTATTAGGCCACACATGTTGCATATCGCTGCAAACGTGGAACTTTGAGCAATAATTTTAGGGCCATTAATCACTGATAACACTAAACTGATGAGCGGTAAAAGCTTTTAAATCAGCGCCTATGGCCAATTTTCGGCATGGTAGTTTTTTGTGATTTCGCGAGCGCACGCAATTTTAAAGCTTGAGATGTTTGGTGTCAACATACCCGATATGACCCCGTCTTTTATGTTTTACCAAACAATTGGGTAATTGGGTCAATAGGTATATTCCTAGTCCAAGTTCAGAAATGGCCGATGCTTTCTCCAAGCTTGCTTATTGATGGCAATCAATAAAGGCATTATATTACTTGGTTGTTTTTGCCCCTTATTTGGCACACTGACCGCAAAAATCATGGCACACATCAGGTTTGTATCGGTAGAGCTCATGAAGACTTCGGGATCGTAAGTAACTCTGACCACAAGTGAAAGGCCAAAGTACTTTGGCCGTATTTGTGGGAGGAGTTGCGGCGGCTCACCTCCCCTTAAGAAGGGTGTCGGGGCGGTCCTTCCCACGTCACAGCAAGATCGCAGCTGACCCTCCCGCCCTTCCCCTGTTTTCCTTCATTTCACTAGAGTGTGCCCCCTAATTTGGCACACTGACCGCAAAAATCATGGCACACATCAGGTTTGTATTGGTAGAGCTCATGAAGACTTCAGGATCGTAAGTAACTCTGACCACAAATGTTTTATAACATAACGTAGGGAAAACAGGCTTTTTTTCAAAATTTCCGAAACTTTTTTCATCATACAGTAAAAAATAAACCCCCCCCGTGGTGATTAAAAGAAAAGTCCATCTGTCCCCAAAAATTTACATAAAATGAATTTCAGTACAACGATGCATGACTGAATAAACATCAGTCAAAGTACCGCAACACTGAATACTGAAAAATGGCCTGGCCAGGAAGGGGCTTTAACACCCCAGTCAGCAAGTGGTTAATAAACAAGGCATGGTCTAAAAATATGATATTATACAGAATTTATAAAACCCCAACAGTATATACTGTATGGAAGATTTTTTTCTTTAGAAAATACTACTTCTTCACTTTTTATCTGTTTTGTCAGAAAAAGGATGTAAGAATTCCTGTTTAGTTGTCCAAATGAACTTAGACATACCCAAGATGACCAGATCTTTCTTGCACATCTGATATCTTGATGTCCAAACCAATAACTTTCAGTCTGCTGAGTCACTCTCTGACCACTCCTTTGAATACTATGCCTTTCAGCTCGGTACATTTCTCGTGATGGCGCCGCGACCCACTGCAGAAGGGCTCGCGACCCACTTTTGGGTCGCGACCCATGAGTTGAGAACCACTGGTTTAGAGGATGCTTGGCAGACTTTTCTTTTTTTACAGAAATATATTTTATTGAAAATTTTCAGGCATACAAGAGATTGTAACAACAGACAAAGGCAGCGTCAAACGTGTATCTTTAAGGATAATAGGATAAGGCAGACTTTTCTAATAGCCACCCAGCACTTCCTTTTAGCCATTTTGAATGCAGCCTTTATTCAAATTATTAAAAACAGTTTATAGTTTAAACTAGTTAAAGTACTTTTACTAGGGATGCACCAATACCATTTATATTTCCGTACTCGCCGATACCGAGTACCGATACTGGAACTTCTGCTAGCATGGAGCCAGCTATGCAGTTTGAATTTATGTTAAAAATAATCTACTGTAAAGGTGCACATACGGGATGATATCGCGGTAAATGGTGGGGAAGACGTGGAATCTTTGTGGCTGGAACTTGATAGATCGGAGGCTAGCCGTAAACTTATTGTGGGTATTTGTTATAAACCCCCAGATATAGGGGAGGGGGGGGGAAGCTCAGCTACACTCCCAAATAGAAACAGCCGAGAAGCAGAGTAGCGTCATCGTTATGGGTGACTTCAATTATCCAGACATAAATTGGGTTAATGGAACCTCCAACTCTACAAAGGCGGCCAGTTTTCTGAACATGTTGCGAGACATCTTCATGGATCAGATGGTGGAGGTACCAACTAGGAAAAATGCAATCCTAGATTTAATCATTTCTAATAATGTAGAGTTAATTGGGGATATTGCAATGGGGTAGACACTGGGTAATAGTGATCACAATGTGATTACCTTCAACATTGGGTATTGGCGGGTTGGACAAAAACCCTAAACTTCAGAAAGGCTAAATTTAATAAGCTACGCCAGCTCATGTGTGAAATCAAATGGGAAAGCCTATTTCAGAAACTGAGCACTGAACAGAAGTGGGAATGTTTTAAGAACATAGATAGTCCATGGTCCCATCGCACTCCTGACAGCATAAATCCCTTCAAGAATTGGGTGCTGCGGTAGTCAACGGGTGGCAGCCGTAAATCCGTGAGCTGAAGCAGAGACACCGGCACTCCAAACTTGCAAAATACGTCTATTTATTGACGTTCATCGTGGTAAAAAACAACGAACGTTTCGGGGTCACAAATGATCCCCTTCATCAGGTGAGAACATATTACAAAAGGCTATTACCAAGTGTATACCATTGGGGAACAAAATCAAAAGATCAAAAACCAAACCTGTATGGATAAATAGATCAGTAAAGCAACACATCAAGGACAAGAGAGTGGCATTTAGAAAATATAAGATGGAGGGGACGGCATTGGCGTTCGATAATTACAAAGCATGTAACAAAAGATGTAAACAAGTAATTCGGGCAGCTAAAATAGAGTGTGAAAAACATATTGCCAGAGTTAGTAAAAAGAATCCCAACATTTTTTACCAATACATAAACAGTAAAAGAGTAAGAAAGGAGCAGATAAGCCCAATAATGGAGGATAACGGGGGGTTAGTCACAAACAACAGGGAGAGGGCGGAGGCGTTGAATACCTTTTTCTCATCAGTATACACTCAGGAAAAAGACGGGGTTATTATACTTAAGAACGCACATAGTTCATCTCAAAATATTCCACAGTGGTTGACAGAAACCGAGATACAACATAGGCTCAAACTACTTAATGCAAATAAAGCATTAGGACCAGATAATCTACACCCCAAGGTACTTAAAGAACTAACCCAGGTTATAATGGGACCATTATTCATCATTTTAAAAGACTCCCTAATGACTGGCAGAGTGCCAAGCGACTGGCCGAGGGCTACGGTAGTTCCAATATTAAAAAAAGGGTCCAGATGCCATCCGGGAACTACAGAGCGGTTAGTCTTACATCGGTAGTTTGCAAAGTTTTAGAGGGCATGATTAAGGACCACTTCGTAGAATTTGTTCGGGATAATGGCATAGTAAATAACAACCAGCATGGATTTAGGAAAGACCGTTCCTGTCAGACCAACCTGCTAACTTTTTACGAAGGGGTAAGTAGAGATCTGGATGGAGGGAGGCCGGTGGATGTGGTATACTTGGACTTTGCTAAAGCATTTGACACGGTACCACATAAACGCTAGCTACACAAGCTAAGGTCTATGGGCATAGATGAAATAGTGTGTACATGGACAGAAAACTGGCTACAGGAACGGGTATAAAGAGTATCGATAAATGGCACCTTCTCGAATTCGGCTAGGGTCATGAGTGGCGTGCCTCAGGGTTCTGTGCTTGGTCCCAGTGAAAATTGCGCAGGGGCGGGTGGAAATTCATGGGGGGGGGGCAGCTGGTTGGAAACTGCCGCCACTTCAGCAGCGGTGATCACCAATTCATTTCTCCCCCTTCTCTTCTCCTCCTCGGCCGCTCTGTAGCTGCTGTCGGCGAGGAGGAGAAGACAAGGGAGAGAGAATCAGTTCAGCTGTCTGCCTGTCCCGTCTGCTCCTCCGGCCACCTGCAGCTTCCTCTGTCCACATTAGCTGCCATAGGCTGGGAGGAAGGCTGCAGAGCTACAATTGACTGGCTGGCAGGACAGCGCGGGACTTGAAGGGAGGCTTCACCTTGG